ACACACACACACACACACACACACACACACACACACACACACACACAAACCAATAATTTAATGATAAATAAAAACATGTCCACCTTTTTTTTTTTTTAATTAAACAACACTTTCACTGGCCTGTTAAAAGGATATGCACTAATGAATGGGAAGGGCAGCTATATAAACAGTTTTAATTACCTGCTGTTTACTTTGAAAGGTACTACAGTACAAGCACTTGCACAAGTAGAGCTTATTAGTCTGGAAACTCATTTTACTTTTGGTTTCATTTGAGCATTTACCTCTGAACAGAGCTGAACAAACCTTCAACCAGTTCAAAAAAATAAAACAAATGAACCAAAACACGAGTGCAGAGTTGAGCTACAAAGATATATTTTAATTAGCCAGGATTGCAGATTAAAATACTTTAAATTAGAACCTTTACAAGTTGGAAAAACGGTTGTGCTGAATGATAACCTGAACAGGAAAGGTGCCAGACATTCTCTATCAAAGCAAATAAAGCACAAGGTTCTTTAGTACTCTTATACCCCAAAAGTATACGTTTTATTCACAAATGGTTATTCTTCAATGGCCAATTGGTATAGGAGCAAAGCCTTTTATGATTATTACTTCATAAGCAAACAGCAGGTAAAGGTAATCCAATGACAACTACTTGGGCTGGAAACAACACAAACACTTTACACAAACATGCAGGCTGAACATCAAGCCCACAGCCCCACTAAATACATAAAAAAAGACTTTGCAAACATTTGAATTGTGGGACTGTTAGACGTGGCTGCATGAATTGTAGAAGTGCTGCTTTCATTGTGTCCACCCACTTAAAGCACTGCGGGCCTCTGATGACGATTACACAAACTGGACTCGTACCTTGGACCACTTAAGGTGGGAGAGGTTGGACTCATGCATTGGTTTGAATGAGTGCTTCTGAAAGGCGGTTGTGAAGCAGAAAGACAAGAGAAAACGACAAGCAAAGATAAAGAAACAGAGGGGGACCCCCCCCACCCAAAAAAAAAAAAAAAGTGTCCAGAAGAAGAGGAGGCAGGACACAAAGAATGAGCAACACCACAACAGCCGCCAACAGTGATACGATTGACTTTCAATGCCTGTATGCAGAAAGGTTTAATATACTTGTACTGTAGTAGTTGTACTGTAGTAGCTCGCTTTGTTGATTGATTCTTATTGTTTTGTCACGCATGTGTGTGTGTGTTTTGTACCCGTTTCTCCTGCAGTGACCGGGCTGCCTCCTCCTGTGCCAGCACCATCTCTCGCTCGGCGGTGATTTGAACGCTCTCTCTCAGAGCCTCCTCCAGCTCCTCGATGCGCTCAGATTTCTGACGGAGAGTGTCCTTCACAGCGGCACAAATTTGTTTCTTTAGACACTGACCCCATACAGCAGCAGAGGCTTCCTGCAGATTGTAAACACTCATAGGAATCCTCACAGAAGGCCTCACCTTGACCTGCTGTGAAGATTCAGACATGTTGTCCTCCCTCTTCCTGGCCTCCTCCATTAACCGAGCGTTCCTGCTCTTCTCCACTTGCTCCTTGTGCTTCAGCGATGCCACCTTTTTCGTCTGGTCCTTCATCTGCCTACAGGTGCACCATTTAAGTCATTACATATTCTTCTTTGACAAAGAGTACACATAAAGTGACAGTAAATTCATTTGTTTATTTGAAGCTATAGATACGGGGCTAAAAAAAAAAATGTAAAGAAACATTTAGTGATTTCTGATGCAGTTAATATCCTGATCACAGTTTTGAGTCCAACCTCATGCATGAAGTAAGAAAAATCTGTTCTTTTTGTTAGTGGACTATATCAAAACGTGGAAAACAAAGTTGTTGGTTTAACTGATTAAAAGGAAGTTCTGAAAGATTATTAAACCATGATCAGTTATTTAAAATAGTTGAAAATACATAACTGTTAATTAACTTATGTTTGAAGCAGTTTTGTAATTTCTCACTCAGGCATGTTCAGATTAAATGTGAGCAGAGATGAGATCCTGTGAGTCTTTGAAACACCAGTTACAGCTGCATATTTTGACAGGAATTTACACGAATGATTGCCTCTATAGATTATTGGCCCTACAGAGTCAAATCTCAGATTTCACTCAGGGTGAAAAACTGAACAGGAAGAAAGAAAAGAGCAATTGAGAGTCTGAACAAGAATAAGAGTAAAAATAAAAAATAAACACAGCAAATGTACTTGGAAGAAGCAAAAAAGGTGGAGAGAAGAATTGTAGGGGGGGTGTATTCAGGTGAATAAAAAAGAACAAATACTAACCTTGAGGCCAGACTGGTTGGGTGAGAAATTTCCAGCGCAAAGAGGGGAAAGCAGTAAAGAGAAAAGGAGACTCAGGCTCAGAAAGTGAGCAATAATAAAGAACAAGAAGAAGGAAGAAGATTCATCCACTTTTCTTTAGATTGAGAAACTCTCATTAATCTGTTTCAAGTGTGTAAACATTCAAACTATGACAAACTATCAGACTTCTATGTCTCATATAAAAACTGATCTGCTCAGCAAAACGAGTTACTCTAAAACTGAATTTGACCCCACATCAGACCAGAAAACAGATTTTAATGTTGTTGTTTTTCCTCCGTTTCCTGCCTGTTATTTGATTTTTGGTTTTATGAAATCAAAAGACCAAAGCATAACTTAAACTTAAATATAAAGGCTTTGAGAGTTCATACAAAAGCTAAATATGGGTGATCTACAAAAGGGAAAGATTTAACAGAACTGAGACAAAAGAAATGCTTAAAATAAATAAAACTATACTCAAGTCCTTCAGAGGTAAGAGACACAACTTTGATGATTTTGTGCAGGAGACAAAAAAAATTGCAAGAATTTTTTTATAAGTTTCACTCTAAAACCAAAAAAAACTGAAAATGTTGCACTCTCCTCCAAGATAAACACTTTCCCCTAGAATATGACTTTTGATCTTGAATTTAATCATCTGATTTCAAAGCAAGACTATTTAAATGTCAAAAGGACAAATTAGACAGATAATAACTTGACATTATTTTGAAAATCATGATTCAGAGCAACAAATGTGGCGACTGATGATGCCTCCACATTGAATAACAAACCTTTTCTTAAAGAAGAGAAATCCCGATGAGACCGTATGATTTGGGATAAAATGTGGACTTGAATCATCCCTCCTTTAATACTTTACATTTGTTTTTGATCAGCACATCGACAGAGTCCATGCTTAAACCCACCTCTCCAGCTCGCTGATCTTTTTGTCCTTGTCATTCTTCTCATTCTCCATTTCCCGAAGTATCTCCAGCAGGCGGTCCACCTCAGCCTGGGCCTTCCCAGAATCCTCCTTGTGTCGGGCTACTTCTTGCTCCAGACTCCTGATGCGTTCAGCCAGCTCTGTGTTAGCTTGAGCTTCCAGCGCTGCATTCTGAGCCTGACAAGCAACAAAATCTTTATTAGAAATCACTGAGGGGCCAATAAGCACAAAACGAGACAAAAGGAAAGTAAAAACACTATTTTTATGCAGTTATCTCACTCTCTTTAGTTGGTTGTCCAGTTTTAGGCACTCTTCCCTCTTCTGCTCCAAGACAATCTCCAAACTCTTGAGTTTGGTGTCTTTCTTCAGGCCTGAAGAGGCCAGGGATGAGGCGTGCTCCTTCAGGTCTAATAGAGAAGTCTGCATACCCAAAAAATATATAAATGTTGCTGCTAGTCAAACCAACAAATCATGAAATTAAGAAAAAAGAAAATACAGTGGATCTAGAAAAATACATTTGTCAGGAACAACCATAACGTTAGGAAACATGGGAGAAAAAAACAAACGCTTAATTCTGATGTTTTGTGGTATTTATAGAATTACAACAGAAAACTACATTTCTGCATCTTTTTCACCTCTCTGTCGGACAGGTCTCCCTGCAGTAAGCTCAGTTTCTCCTTCAACTCCTTCAGCTCCTTCTTGGAACAATCAAGCTCCTCTGTCTTTTCTCTGTCGTCTCGATCTCGTTGCTCCTTCAGACGCTCGATGATGCGCTCCTTAAAAAAAAAAAAAGTCATAATTAGTTATACACAATATTTTTAAACATACCTAAAATATCCACCATTTACTGCCACAAAAAAAAACCACAAAGCCAGCTCATTATAAACTAATATTCACACGTGTGAGTCGCTTGTAACTTCACCTTTTCTGAAAGAGACTCCTCCAGCGTTGTAAGGGCAGTATCGGTGTTGGAAGTGTCAGCCTGTAAAGACTTCACTCTCTCCTTTAAACTGCTCATCTGCTTCTCCTTGTCCCGAAGTTGTTCCTGCAGGTTCTCGATCTGCAGATTAAACACAGTAACCATCAAGTCAGTCACACGAAATGTTCTGCAAAACAAGAATATTGCACCTTTAAAGCTATCAAGTCTTGACATTTTGGGGAAAATGTCTCTTTGTCCACATTACCTTTTTCTGCAGCACATTAATTTTCCGCTCCTTCACTTCCAGCATATCCTTTAGGTCGTGAATCTCCCCATTGAGGGTTCCCTTCTCCTCCGACATTTCCTGTATCTGCTTGCTCTTCTTATTCAAAGTTGCCTCTTTCTCTTCCAAACGCAGGCGCAAGGCATCAACCTAGATAAAACCAGGCAGCAAACTTACCAACACAAATCAGAAACGTGACCTTCCACACAATTTAGGACTTTATGATAAAACCAAACCAAGTAAAAAGTGAAGCACTTTGGTTGACATTACATACGACAGCTTTTGCTTGCCGTACCTCTGTCTGTAAGATAGCAGCGCGCTGCTCCTTGGCTGTGAGGGATTCCTTGAGGACTTCAATGTGTTGCTTGCTGTCTGAAAACTGGTTAGTTAGAGTCTCCAATTTAGTCTGCAAACCAAGCAGCTCAGTATCCTTCCTGGAGAGGTCTTGTTTCACCTGCTCCATCTGAAAAAAAAAATAAAGATGACAAATTTAATTTGAGTCATACTTAACTAATTACAGTGTACATGCATGAAGTAAAGACAGGAACTGTAATCACTCCAGACAAAATGGACCCTCTTCTGTGGCTGACCTTGTTTTTCATGAACTTAGTGTGACTGCGGTACACCTCCATCTGCTTCATCTCCTCTTGACGCTCCTCACAGCTCAAAAGTCCATTGGACTTCATCAAGAGCAGCTCCTCCTCCATGTCCCTCATGCTGCGCTCCATAGAATTGATTTTTGCATCCTGGGGTAAACGGCAATAGGTCAGAATGTATTGCATGGCGTCATGAAAGATGACACACAGGTAAACCCTTACCTTCATGTCAATAACAGTCTGTAAAGCCTTTGTTTTGGTGGATTCAGGAGTTCCTTCAAATCGGCGATGAAGCTCCTGTTAAGTCACAAGTTGAACAAATGGTAGGTGTATATACACATTACTTTAAGCTCAAGCAAAAACAGTTAAAGTTCATAAAGACAGACATAAATTTAGAACATTTGAACAGTTCATTACCTCTCTGAGTGCAGTAATCTCTCTGTCTCTCTGGTCCAGTAAACTCTCAAGGTGATGCCTGTGCATTTCTGCATCGGCCAGTCTCCTGGTCCTCTCCTGGTCCTCCTCTGATGCTTTGGCAGATGGTCCTGAGGCAGCAAAGATAGATACTTTGTTAAAAGGTTAGAAACGAGGAGAATGGTTTCATAAATATGAAATTAGGAGGTTTAAAGCAAAGCAAACTAGCAGAGGCTACAGCAGAAAGGGTTTTATGCTTCACAAAGTTGATGCATTTAGCAGACAAAACCTAAAACACCAGAACTGCAAGCACACAAAATTAAGCCTTTTCGTTTTCAGCTTCCTTTTAAAATTGTTGTACGTTTCAGTTTATCAAATGCAACATTTCTAGTGTTTTGAGTCTGCCAAGCTCAAATGATCAAAGTGATTTTGAAGAAACCACTGAAGGCTTTACATTTATAAACTTGAGGTAGAGTTTTGAAGGATGACTCAGGCTTATGCAACATTTTAGGCCTGCAGAAAATAAGCATGAACAGAATAGAGGCTTGTAGTGATTTCATGAGGCTGACTGCAAGATATACATGTGCAGCTCAAATTAACCCAATCAGTTACACAAACAGCATTTTGTTCAATACCATTTTTATCCAAAATGTTCCTCTCAAATAAATTTATAACACCAGTACCAGAGTAAGTTGGGACACTTGTGCAAGACTGAAAAATTCACTTGTACAGTAACAAGAGTTCTCCTCCGAATAATATATTAAGTCATACAATTCGTGATAACAGCATATCAAGCACACCGTGATGAACTCAATCATACCAATAGACAGATCTGTATGCAGTTCTTCATGAATTTATTTGGCTAAAAACCTGTTAGTTTATACGGATCAACTAAATGTGAATTTGCTCGTCCTTAAGCCTACCTTTGGTCTGCAGCATCTCCAGAAGCTTTTTGATCGACTCGTCTCTGGCGACCAGGGTTTGCTTCTGTGTGTCGATCCTCAGCTCCATCTCCTCCAGTGTCTTCCTCAGCAAGAAAAGCTCCTTGACCTGCCTTTCATACTCGGCTTGTAGCCGCCGGTAGTTCTCCTCTGTAGGCTCAGACGTCAGGGCCAGATCCCTTCCTTGGCTGGCAGGGTCTTGCTGAAGCAGCTGGTTCAGGTCCCTCTGGATCCTCAGCTCATCTTGAAGAGCCTGAACAGTCATCTGCAGATGCTACGGAGACACAGGGGACACTTTCACTTGCTCTGATCTCTGTTTATAAGGAAGTGATTTGCACAGGAGTACACAAGGTAAATTGTATTGATTGCTTGAATGGCACGTGAAGTACAATCCCCTCCACTTTGCTGCAATAGTTCCTGGGAGAATATCATTTTGCAGCCCGTTAATAAAAATCATCTTCTAATCATGAATTAAAATTAAGTAATGTCCTGACGGATACAGCAACAATGGGCAAGCTTCGTGGACAGTGTTACGTTTCATGCCCTGAGAAATACAAATGGTGAAACACTATCGGCCTGGTATAGTATTGCATTGTTTGTGGCATCTGACGCCACAGCCACTTGGCAGAGATGCTGTGAGACAGCAACAGAAGGCTGGGTTACACTCTGCTCTGAACCAGCTGGGAGCGTTTTCAAAAGACAGAACAAAGAGAGAAGTCAGTGTCTGCCTTCATTTTTCTCCGTCCTCGAGCCCCCTCCCTTTCCTTCCTCTCTCCTTCACCAGAACACACACACACACACACCATTCTCCTCCTGACTCACTATTCATCCACCTTCCCTCACTCTCGTCCCATCTCCTTTCAATACTCACACCTCTTCTCTCACCATCCATCCCTTTCTAATCACCCTCTCCACCCTGCAAGGCTGACTCACTGCTGTGACTGCACAGATACTTTCCTTCTATCCAAACTTAAAGCCACATACATGAACAGAAACACACACATTCATCTTCCCACCCTCACTGTCGGAGGAGAGATAACTGCCAGGTGCCTGAGAAAACAACACACAGAAGAGATGATGCACTAACGAAGCTCATCAAAACAAAAAAAAGGAAAGATTTTGTAAATGTACTATTTTATGTTTGACAAAGAGTAAGTGATCATAATGCTCCAGATATAATTTTTATCTCTGAACTCTGAAAGGCAGGCAATAATGTTTTTGTGTGCACTCATGTGTCTTCTGTTACAAGGGTCACTGGATGAACTGTAACAAAACTTGCAAAAAGTAATCATTGAATGTACCGTACTTTCCAGACTATAAGACACTACTTTTTTCACACGCTTTGAACACCGCAGCTTATACAATGCTGCGGCTAATTTATGGATTTATTTTATTTATTCATTTATTTTTTGATGGGCTAACGAGCTTCATGCTACCAAAACATTTACCGGTAGCTTGGTCACACTGGGGCGCTCACATAGCTGCCCAATACACGTCTCTCTTGGGGGGGGGTAACGATTAAGGGTGGGCGATATGGCTCAAATATATCGTGATATTTCAGAAAATTCTGATGATAACGATTAATTTCATGATAAACAAAACAAAAAAAAAAACAGAAATCATAGTTATTCATTTGACAAAATGAACTTGTTGCTTTGCAGTATTATATGAAAACAAGGGTTAATTTTACTGCAATTACTTTATTTAGTAAAGTATTCAGTCTCAAAGTACAAAAATAAAAATATTTAAATGATCCTTCTGTTATTTAGATTGAAAAAATATGCACAAAATATAGATCAACAAAATCCACCACAAAAACTTAAGTGCAGGTGCAGTCCCCCCCCCCAAAAAAAATTAAAGCCTAAGAGCTGCATAACTGTAACCTATCTATAACTTCCAAAACTTGTGACAAATGCTGAAAACAGATAAAATGCTGCCTGAAGGATTGATCAGAACAGCCATCAGACAATGTCCTGATCCTCAGGAAAGCAGCTGCTCTCGAGGTTTCATCTGCACCGTTCCCAGTCGCTGTTAATATAGTGCAGTTAGACTTGATCATAAATCGGTGGTCGATGCAGTCAGTGTTTCCTCTACCATTATATGAGCGGGGTGCCCCGTCGCGTCAACAGAACCACAGCACAGTCTACCGAACCAAGCTGCGCGCACCCGCGCCCCACCCGCCTGCACTGTAGCAGCGCGCTAGCTAAAAAGCTAAAAGCAACATCTTCCCTCACACTAAACTGACCGGATCAAAAACTGTCGGGACAACAGCGCTCAGCTCAGATGTCTCCGTTCATGCCTTCATCGTAGCATAATCCACTGCGTGGTGGGATGACGTATTTATGTCATGAAATTAGCATATCACGATATAATTTATTTTCCCGGGCAAGTTTTTTTTACTGGTATTATCGTGAACGATATGATATGGCCCAGCCCTAGTAGCGATCAATGAATTCCTGGTAGACTGTTTTTTTTTTTTTTTTTGTTTGTTTTTTTACCAGCCGTGTTACAGGCACTGTTCAGGAAAAAAACATTTACTGTATTTGTGTGCGTTACCAGTACGCATTTAATTAAAAGTTTTTTAAATATCGTTCTGTGTAAATGTCTCATGTTACAACATGAACACCTGCAGCTTATATTCAAGTGCGCGCAATAGTTCGGAAATTACGGTACCTATTCAGCTGGTCAACCAGATTCAAGATGGCTGCTCCAGACAACTGATCCTAAAAAGCCCAAAATCGAGAGAACTCAGTTTTACAGATATAGAATAAAAATTTGATCTGGTAGTGGACGAGTTATTCACAATACGTTCAGAGCATGATCGTGCTCCATCTCTTTCAAGGTTTGTTTGTTTGTTTGTTTGTATGAATCCATCCAATTTGCACCAATATTACATGGAGTAAAAGCGGTCACAGACATTGAACTACCATCGTTGCCAGAATCTGGAAAGATTGTGCCTACAAATCTAAATTACACACATGTAAACACACAATTACAAGCATGCACGTTCAGCTGGGCCTCCATCCAGTGAAAACTGAAGGCCATAATCAGGCTTTAAAGAGAGAGTATCCACACTTTCTGTTGCATGTATGTCAGAGTGGGAGGTGGAGGCAGACGTATGAAAGCAGACATCTTTAAATTAAAGCACCCGCTGATTAGCCCCGTGCTGGTCGCGCAAAACTGGGAATTAGTCTCGAGCGCGAGTGTGGGAGTCAGCAGGGGTGAAGGCAGCAAATTATACAGGAGGTCTGCCCATCCATTAAGAATCGCAGTTAAACAAAGACAATTTGTCTTCATTAATGAAACTCAATTTGCTCAAGTGCTACAACAGTGTGCAAGTTTTTTTTAAAGCCCTAACTGGATTTATTCAGTTACCATTTTTAAACACTTTTTTTTAATTGGAGCACATGCAGAGGCACATTCTGTCGGTGGATCAAAGACTTTTTGTTAAATTTAGCAGTTCGTGTTGATATACAGTACATCCCAGAGGCAAGCAAGGCAACAAAAAGAAGAAAAATGTAGCATTAAAAAGCGCCTGACCAAAAACAGAAAACAAAAATTATTGATCTAAGCCAACAGTTTCAACTACACATGTAATACTAGCGGTGATGATTTTACTTTTATAAAAATCCACTTACTCGTACAAAAATCTACTTAAAGACCACATTTCTATTCTGCTCACCACTTCCAGCATTTTTTAAAACATACTAAATTGCAAATGCAGCCACTAGACTTTGCATTCCTTTCATCTACAAAACACAAGCATACATCCGCCTATAAGAAGATTAACGAGATGTTGAAAATCTACCCCAAACCAATCCTGGGAGAGAATAGGAGAGAAAAACACTTGTACTAAAGCTGACACACAGAGTGTAATGTGTGGTTTTTTTCTGCTCCAACATGTTTGTCATATTCAGCAGGGTGACTTTACTAAAAGCAAGAAAATTAAGTTGATGAGGTCAGAAGCGGAAATGATGGTGCTCCGTTTCAAACAAACAAAGAAACGCTCACCTGCGCTTCGTCCTGAATAACACGGTACTGTTCCTTCCAAACGGAAATCTTGGAGGCTTCGTCTTTCCTGAGAGCTCGCTCCTTTTTTAACTCTGGGCTCCAGAAGGTTTTAATTGAATTCATGGAGGAACTCAGTTTGCTCTCCTTGATTTCCACCTCGCGCCGCAACATCTCATTCTCCCTCAGAACCTGAAAGAGCAGGGTGAAAGTTTAGCACGCTGATTACATCCAGAGTGATAAGGTCATCTTGGTTATTGAAATTTCCACATTCCTGATAGAAGAAACTCTGCAAACTAAACAAAGCGTGAGCAAAATACCTCTTTGAGTTGAGCCTGCAGGTCAAGTATGGTGTTGTCTCTGGCTTGTCTTAGAGAATGGGGGACTGTAGAAGCCATGTGGTGGTCCCCGAAAGCTAGAGCATCACCTGCTATCATGCCTGCTGGCAGCACTGCATTAGTAGGCACAGTGGTGGAGATATTTGGAGTGCTAGCTGCTACAACTCCACCGCTGCTTCTTGACCCATAAGTCACCCTCTGTCTCCCTGTGATAGTCACAGTACCGCCACTTTTGGGAATGTGGTCGCCCGCCATGATGACTTCATTATCACTCAGGTACATCGGTCCTGAGGTGGCATACGCAGCATTGAGGGACTGGATGTTCTCCATGGACAGGGTTTTGCCTCCTGCTCCTCCAGGACCTCCTCCGCTGCCGCCGGTGCTGTTGGTGCGTCGGTGCCCCATCCGAGGAGAGCGAGGCAGGCGAGGCGAACGACCCGATCCCTGATTGCTACTGCCACTTCCATCTCTTCCTCCACTGTGATTGGCGTCCCCTCTGCCGACCGAGCGAGCGCTACCGTACATTTTCTGCTGAACTGAATAAAGGAGCTAACTGCAGAACTGAGGTATCACCACAGGCGTGTGTAGGTTGTTCTTTTCTGCCTTCTAACAGCTGGATGAATTTATGATGATCCCGCTCTGAACTGGAAATAAATAGATATAAATATTCATATGGCCATGGCTATGATATCTTCAACTTACGATGATGTGAACGCACTTTTCCAGGATTAAAAATATTACCAACCTGCAAAAAATAACAAAGAGAAAAGTCATTCTTTCTCTTTTTCACATTAAGCCGCAAATAAAAGATCATGTAGGACATTAATGAAATCTCAAAACACGTGGAAATTTGAGACAGTGGTATGAAAACTCAACATGCGACTGACGAACCGTGAATAGGTTTCACAGTTAACTGAATCTCCTCCAACAGTTATACAACTAAAGTCCTGTCTGACATTTCAGCTACTTTCTACTTCCAATCCACACAGATGGATCATAGCTTCCTGTCAATTACGGTACTTTTATCTATGGCAATTTTTATAGAAACTCCATATTAAAACAAATTATTTTTTCTAAACATAAAAAAGGTCATTTGTGATTAATCATTAATCTGTTACAACAGGTAGCACCGATAAAGATTAATACTGTGATTCATAGCATTCATATTAAATATCTTATGAAAACCTATGCTGAGCAAGATACCTTTCTGAAATACTTTGTTCATACCAGAAAGCCAAGTATTTCAAAGATACTTTATAACAAAGATTATAAATAAGTAAAAAGAACAAATTTCTAAAAAGAAAATAAAATTTTGGGAGAAAAACGTCAAGAACTATAGCTGGGTATTCAAGCTTTATCGAGTGTCACTGTGCATAAATGTAACAAAAGCAACTCTATGCGAGTAGGTTTAATAGTAATACTAATGTTTTTACCGTTTTTGTTCGTTTGTGAGTGTGAATATCTGGTACCAAAATATCTTTGGAATCACTGGACGTGTTTTTAATTAAACTTGCAACAAGAATTAATCATTCCATGTACAGCTACAGGTTACGCAGAACCTTATTTTTAAGGTTTGACACAGACGGCTGCAACGCAGTCGTTTAACACGAGATGATTTTAGTCTAAAACTCTGGCATGAAAGGTGGCGGGCGACATGCATTCCTTCAACAAACATAAGGCCTTTCATTTAAACATAGTCAATATCAGCAAAAAGGTTTTGTCTTACTCTGCTCCTGTAACCTGGACCACCTTGCAACAAGATCTGAAGCTGTCCACTTTGATTTCTTTGAGGGCTTTTAAACATTTGATCATTTCAATAGAAATATTAAAGCAAATATGTTCTTGTGTTTAGTATTTTACCTTGTTTTAAATGGCATCTTGATTTGACCATTTATAACTTATTTTATTGGATTTAAATTGCTTTTTTGTTGAATTATTGTACTTTATACGTTATCCGTCTAAAAGCAGGTCTCTGTTGAAAATGAGTCCTCGTGACTCAACGAGACTAACCTGTAGAAATAAAGGTTGAATAAAAAAAATCTATAAATGTTGAACGTGCTTTTCTTTCAAATACTTTAAAAAATATTTCATTTTTTAGCCTAATATGCATGTAATCTTTTAAAGTGACACAAAGTAATCATTAAAGGCTCTTTGTCACTGCACATGTGTTTAAACAAATATTAAACTGTGATTTTATGTTTAAACTGTAAGAAAAGGGGCTAAGTTGTTCGTTTTGTGTCTAGGTTTATGTTTTAATAGAGTTGTGTAATAAGAAACTGCAGCAGGTTATGTTGGAAAGACTTAGACCTTTAATCCTACCTGAATACTGAGAATAAAAACAATTATTAGCTTTATTATCAGATTATTTAGCCATTACACTTCAGTAAGTGTGGCCCTGCTAACAGAAAAGCCTGTTTTCACACAGACTTCACCCAAATTGTCGACCATGGTGGAGACAGGGAGGAGGAGAAATCTTAATAGAAATGATCAAAACGTGTCGAAATGCTAGCCACACGTCTGAAGTCACGATTTTGTAGCAAAGGCGTGTGAAAACGTGACTATATTTAGGCGTTTAGGAGCGACTGAGTGCAGCGTTTGGAAACACCCATCAAACCATTTCCATTTTCCTCATCCTCTACTGAACGTTTTCAGCTTTTAATCCTTCATTCAGAGCTTCGTCCACATACACGAGTCTCCTAAACATCTCAGAAAGGTCTAAATCACCCAAATGAACGTTAGCTCGCCGTCTCATAAAGAAGCTAGTCCATTCGGGATTGAGCGGTCATGCTAAATCCCTTTTTTTTTAGTCGCTAACACAATAGCCAGTTGTAAAGAAGAGAGGGGGAAAAGGAAAACCTTTAGGAGCAAACTACCTTTTTCCGTGGTCTGGTGAAGCTCTGATCAGTGCCAGATCTTAGTCCTCTTTCGAACAAGCAGAAGTGTACATGTTATGTTATTTTTGTCGAAGGACGGTTATCGTATTTTCCCATCTTTCTGCCAGCAGCAGCAGCGGCGGCGGCTCACGAGAGCCAGGGCGCCTCGGTGACGTCAAGCCCCCTGTGCGCGTTCACGAGTGCCTGCCTCGCCACGCTTGACTTTTAAACGCGCGGTCACGAGCCCCCCATAACTGGAAAATGGACAACTGAAATAAAACAGTTATATTAATAATAATAACTATAATAATATAACTCTGCTCAGACTTGTTCAAATGGCCCCAATGACTCTTAAACTGAGACAGACGCTCGTCATTATTACTTCGTGTGAGATTACATTTGGTGTCCACATGCTTCCTGGTTGACCCAATCACATCTAAGAGCACATGTTCGCCTATATTAAAATGCATCATATCCACGTGTGTCCAGAAGAAACAGTTGTCCAGCAGGATCTTTACCCGCTCAGTATGCAAATAGACACGTTAGTCAGCAGTTTGCTGACCCCAGCAATTCCATTGATATTTCTGCAAGTCCAATGACCAAAAACTTTAAATCATACTGGTTATTATTTTTGTATTATTTTCTTACAAACTGGCAAGTTGCAATAAGTAAATGCAGATTCATTTGAGTCCTTATTTTATTGTGCTCTTAGTCTATTTTTAATTGTACCTGATGGTTTTTGTTGTGGTTTACTTGTGGCTCCTAGAGTTTCCCAAAAATAGAATGGGAGGCAGATGTTTCAGTTCTAAGGCTCCTCTCTTGTAGAACCAACTTTCAGTTTCTATACTTTTAAGACTAGGCTTAAGAATTTCTTTTTTGATAAATCTCATAGTTGGCTTGGCTTTCTGAGCTATCCCTTAAGCTGCTATAGGCTGAGACTTAAGCTGCTATAAGCTGAGACTGCTGGAGGACAAACTGACCACATCTCCTCACTGCTGTTTTTATTCATTCTACATGCATGCATTGTAATGATTTCATTAAGACAGTATGGGATTTTCTTTGTCTTTCTCCCCATAGATAGTATCCCTGGACCAGCCATTTTGTGTTTTGTCTATATTTCTTTCCTGTCCCCTCTTTCCCCAGCCACTCAAGGGAGATACCTGCCCATCCTGAGAAATAGATGTCTTTGCTAATTGATAATAAATCATCCTGGTGAAAATCCAGTTTACTTTGTCTTAAATGGTGCCACATTTCCTCCATGTGTCTTTTATATAAATTTTCTGTATTCTAATACAGATGCTGGTCATAAAATTAGAATATCATGAAAAAGTTGATTTATTTCTGTAATTCCATTCAAAAAGTGAAACTTGTAAATTATATTCATTCATTACACACGGACTGATGTATTTCAAATGTTTATTTCTTTTAATGATGATTATAACTGACAACTAAAGAAAACCCCAAATTCAGTATCTCAGAAAATTAGAATATTACTTAAGACCAATAAAAAAAGGGTTTTTAGAAATGTTGGCCAACTGAAAAGTATGAACATGAAAAGTATGAGCATGTGCAGCACTCAATACTTAGTTGGGGCTCCTTTTGTCTGGATTACTGCAGTAATGCGGTGTGGCATGGAGCCGATCAGTCTGTGGCACTGCTCAGGTGTTATGAGAGCCCAGGTTGCTCTGATAGTGGCCTTCAGCTCTTCTGAATTGTTGGGTCTGGTGTATCACATCTTCCTCTTCACAATACCTTATAGATTTTCTATGGGGTTCAGGTCAGGTGAGTTTGCTGGCAAATTAAGAACAGGGATATCATGGTCCTTAAACCAGGTACTGGTAGCTTTGTGACTGTGTGCAGGTGCCAAGTCCTGTTGGAAAATGAAATCTGCATCTCCATAAAGTTGGTCAACAGCAGGAAGCAGGAAGTGTCTAAAACTTCCTGGTAGACGGCTGCGTTGACCTTGGACTTCAGAAAACACAGTGGATCAACACCAGCAGATGACATGGCACCCCAAACCATCACTGACTGTAGAAACTTGACAATGGACCTCAAACAACATGGATTCTGTTCCTCTCCTCTCTTCTTCCAGACTCTGGGATCTTGATTTACAAAGAAAATGCAAAATTTACTTTCATCAGAGAACATAACTTTGGACCACTCAGCAGCAGTCCCAGGTGAGACGCTTCTGATACTGTCTCTTGTTCAAGAGTGGCTTGACACAAGGAATGTGACAGCTGAAACCCATGTCTTGCATACGTCTGTGCGTAGTGGTTCTTGAAACACCGACTCCAGCTGCAGTCAACTCTTTGTGAATCTCCCCCACATTTTGGAATGGGTTTTGTTTCACCATCCTCTCCAGGGTGCAGTTATCCTTATTGCTTGTACACTTTTTGTTCTACCACATCGTTTCCTTTCCTTCACCTCTCTATTAATGTGCTTGGACACAGCACTCTGTGAACAGCCAGCCTCTTTAGCAATGACCTTTTGTGTCTTGCCCTCCTTGTGCAAGGTGTCAATGGTCATCTTTTGGACAACTGTCAAGTCAGCAGTCTTCCCCATGATTGTGTAGCCTACAGAACTAGACTGAGAGACCATTTAAAGGCCTTTGCAAGTGTTTTGAGTTAATTAGCTGATTAGAGTGTGGCACTTGGTGTCTTCAATATTGAACCTTTTCACAATATTCTAATTTTCTGAGATACTGAATTTAGGGTTTTCATTGGTTGTCAGTTATAATCATCCATCCATCCATCCATTATCTTTACCCACTTCTTCCATTTTGGGTCACAGGGGTCGCCGGTGCCCATGTCCAGCAATCACTGTGCGAGGGGCGGGGTACACCCTGGACGGGTCGCAAGTCCATCACAGGGCCACATAGAGACAAACAAGACAAACAACCATTCAGTCTCTCACTCACACCTAGGGACAATTTAGAGTTACCAATCAGCCTAACATGCATGTTTTGGTCTGTGGGAGGAAACCGGAGTACCCGGAGAAAACCCACGCATGCACGGAGAGAACAGGCAAGCTCCACCCAGAAAGGCCCCTGGACCGGGGTTTGGGCCAGGGACCTGCTCGCTGAGAGGCAGCAGCTCTACCAGTTGAGCCACCGTGCTGCCCCAGTTATAATCATCAACATTAAAAGAAATAAACGTTTGAAACATATCAGTCTGTGTGTAATGAATGAATATAATATACAATCAATCAACCTTTATTTATACAGGTAAATCCCATTGAGCCTCGAGGACTCATTTACAAGAGAGACTTGATTTCAACAAAGAAAGATGACAACAATGGGCAACAGCAACAACAATAAACAGTTATAAAAAAAGCATACTACAGTTTTTTTTTTTTTTTTTTTTTTAAACAAATAGGATGGCTAAAAGGAAAAGGTAACAAAACAAAAAACAGCTAGATTCCAAGACAAATGTAGAAAACTAACAACAGGAACATGTCTGCATTGGACCCTGCCAGGTGTCCAACAGATTCTTAAAGACACTTAGAGAGGTCAAGGTCGAGAGCTTCAAATCTTTTTGTAAGATATTCCAGGAAACAGGAGCGGAATAGGAGAAGGCCCTTTTGCCTAGTTCAGTCCTCATTGAGGGAACACTGCAGGTAATAATGTCCTGAGAGCGCACTCCGTAGCTGCACTCACGCAGAGACATGTAGGAGGAGATGTATGAAGGCAACAGACCAAGAAGTGATTTAAAGATGAAAATGTCCAGTTAACCAGTGAATACTGGGTGCAGTGGTGGGTACAATAATCACAGCCAGTTATGAATCTTAGTGCACCATGATAGACAGCATCCAACATCTGCAGAGTTCTTGTAGGAGCGTTCATGTAAATACTGTCACCGTAATCAATGGAGGGAAGGAAAGTCACAGATACAAGGCGTTTTCTAGCATTCAGGGTTAGACAGGATTTGTTTCTGAAAAAGAAACCCAGTTTAACTTTCAGTTTCTTTACCAAGTTTTCCACATGGAGCTTAAAAGAGAGATGTGAGTCGACCAAGATACCCAAACATTTATAGGAATCAACAAACTCAATGGGGACACCATTTGAGGATAAAATCGAAGGGAGAACTGCTGGGACCAACTTCCTATTTGAAAAAAAAAGCATCCCTTTGGTTTTTTCGGCATTTAGGACAAGTTTGAGGTGAAACAAATCAGTCTGGATGATGTTGAATGCAGATTTCAAAAGCTGGAAAGCCTTAGCAACAGTTTTAGCTCGACAATAAACAACTGTGTCGTCAGCATAGAAATGTATGGATGCATTAGGGATGCTTTTACCTACATTATGTATATAGATTGTAAAGAGGGTGGGTCCTAAGACTGAGCCTTGTGGTACACCATTGTTGACTGTTAAATAACTGGAGGAAGTACCATTATGTTGAACACATTGCCTCCGGTCTGAAAGATAGTTAGAGAACCAACCAATGGTGTGTTCTGAGAAACCAATTTCTGAGAGTTTATGACACAAGATGTTATGATCCACAGTGTCAAAAGCTTTAGACAGGTCTAAGAAAAGTGCAGCACAAGTTTCACTTTTTGAATGGAATTACTGAAATAAATCAATTTTTTCATGATATTCTAATTTTATGACCAGCACCTGTGTATATGTCAGCTTTTCCATCAAATCGATTTCTTCACCAAAATGGATGGATTCATTCAAAGTTGGTAGGTTTGTCTGGCACATTTCCTTGTTTTTGCTTTTTTACAAGCCACTGTAAAGATTTTAAACAGATATTTATCTTTTTTTCTTTTTGTAATAATCTGAGAAATTTCCAAAGTATAATACAACAGCATTTTGAGGCAAACCATATTCAAGAATCTTTCTTACTTAAATGAAAAATTTATTTCAAAAATGTTTTATTTCTGAACATATCCAAAATATATGGCCGTAATTGGCATTGCTCACTCAGTCCACACATTCCTCTTAAAATGCTTTGGTTGGAAGATTTCCTTCTAATTCTGGGAATGATTAAAAAATGTAATTAAAATTCACAACGTTTTCTCCATTTTTGAGAACTAGTCCTTGTTTGATGGTTCTCAAGTTGACAAGTTTTGCAGTGAAAATATTATTTCAGATGCTTTTTTCCACCCACTTATATGCACGCTGCCCTTTCAAAGAAAATATTTTTAGTTACTGTAAAATGAGTAAATACACTATGGGTGACAAAATACCACATGTGGTTAGGTGCTGGAGTGGTTGGTAAATGGTTTGCATTGAGTTCACAGCAATAAACATAGCAACTTTCTAAAATATAAAAAACGGATAAAAAGAAATTAGGTAAAATGCCATTAGAATTTAAAAATGGGGAGTGGTAAAATGTGGGTGGGAAAGGTGAAACACCAACACCTGCTTTCACCCTCATTTGCCCCATTCTGGGCCCTTGAGCAAGGCCCTTTACCCAACCATCTGCTCCCCTGGCCGCCCTAGATAGCAGCTCTCTGCTCCACACAGAGGGCTGTGGTAGCTCAGTGGTCTGTGGTTGCGTCTCTGGAAGGTCATCCGGTGTAAAAACAAGTCTTCATGCGAGTTAGTTCACTGTGGTGACCCCTATAGAAGGGAAAGAAAGAAGAAAAAAGTCATTAAAATAAAAAATAAATAAATAAAAAGCATGTGAAAACAACATTTCACTGCTAGACAACACGTAATCCACTCATCAAAGCAGCAGATCAAGTGGGCATGTAAATTAAAAAATATACCACCAGGTGGCAGTGTTGATCTTAGTTAAATAATGAAATAATTTTTGGTTTAAAAAAAATGCATCCTTTTCCATTTTTTTTTTTAATCGCAACTTCTGATATTACAGCAGACCCTCAAGGAAACGTATGTCCTGTTTTGTTCAAGCGTATTGGACATAAACTTGGTGTAAAATATAAATTCACTGTGTCAACACAAGACTAACAAAATGCATCTCATTCAGTATTTATGGGCCATTTTGGGGATGTTCTAATCTCGCACATGCGCACTCTGTTTTTCATCGGTCAATTTGTAGCAACTTCCGTCATTTGCCTGAAAAAAAACTTTAAATCCTTAATTTCTGCATTCCGTAACAGGAATGTGAATCCGCCTGACACGTATGTGTTTAATGGTTTAATTTTAAATAAGTGAGGACGGTTCAAAGATAAATTAACGACACTGACTCTGACTTGTTATTAAGGTAAGTAGGGTTATCCAAGCAACCGGCTCCCCAAACACCGGCCTGGTTTTTGAGGAGCTACATTGCTAAATTGTGTTCGAGCAAGACTCGCCGACAAATCATATGTTAGCTTGACGATTTCACTAATAAACACGTTTTCTAAAACTAATTTCTCGAGTAGCACTGAGTTAAAATGTCTTGCCTCAAAACAAATAAAGAAAAATAGACGTTTGTATATAAAGCTTCTTAAAACGTTAAATTGAATGGAGGCTGCTAGGAGGCGGATCTACCGTTTTTAGGCCATTTAGGGCAGACCGTTGTAACGTATAATTAAACTTCATGGTTTTAAAGGTTCTCTATTAGGACTGTTAAAATTACAGTAAAGACATGTGAAATCGTATTGAAAACAACTGCAATCAGTATATCCACAAACCCTAAATTGTTTAAGTGGCTGTTTCAACGTTTATTATCTATATTAGATAAGTATTTCTGTTGTCTACAGGTCAGTTCTCCCTTGTTAAAAACCCACCTGAAGTGTTGCTAGTGGGTTAAACAAATGGTTTTCAAATAGCAAAATTATTTAAAATGAAAATTGAATTATGAACATCTGTTTTGAATATGGGCAGCACAGTTGGTAGAGCTGCTACCTCTCAGCGAGAAGGTTACCCTTGTTCCCCGGTTTGGAGACCTTTCTGGGTAGAGTTTGCATGTTCTCTCCGTGCATGCGTGGGTTTTCTCCGGGTACTCCGGTTTCCTCCCACAGACCAAAAACATGCATGTTAGGCTGATTGGTAACTCTAAATTGTCCCTAGGTGTGAGTGAGAGACTGAATGGTTGTTTGTCTCGTTTGTCTCTATGTGGCCCTGTGATGGACTTGCGACCCGTCCACGGTGTCCCCCGCCCCTCGCACAGTGATTGCTGGACATGGGCATTGGCGACCCCCATGACCCAAAATGGAATAAGCAAGTAAAGAAAATGGATGGATGGATGGATGGATGGATGGATTGAATTATGAACATCTGTTTTGAATATGGGCAGCACAGTGGGGCAGTTGATAGAGCTGCTGCCTCTCAGCGAGGTTACCCTGGTTCCCCGGTTTGGGGACCTTTCTGGGTGAAGTTTGCATGTTCTCTCCGTGCATGTGTGGGTTTTCTCTGGATACTCCAGTTTCCTTCCACAGACCAAAAACATGCATGTTAGGCTGACTGGTAACTCTAAATTGTCCCTAGGTGTGAGTGAGAGACTGAATGGTTGCTTGTCTTGTTTGTCTCTATGTGGCCCTGTGATAGACTGGAGACCTGTCCAGGGTCCGTCCCCCCACCCACCACCACCACCACTCGCGCAGTGATGGCTAGACATGGGTAAAGATGATGGTAAAGATGATGGATGGATGGATGGATGTTTTGAATATCCTGTCTGACTATTGTGTGATAATTTTGCTTGCCATATATGCAAGCCCCGCCCAGCTAACGTTGCTCTGCTATATAGCTTTGGCTGTGGCGCTTTTTGTCACCGCCTTTCCAACCGACGTTCACACCGGGGCCAACGTATCCGGTGCGGGGTTTAATAACTCCGGGATGGAAACTGTACTTCGATACGGTAAAGTTGTGAGATATTCTTATTTATTCATCGTGTATAGAATAGCCTGAAACGTAACACTGCGTTGTCGTTAGCTTTGAGAAATCATAAGAATGAATTTGAAGGCTTAAGAATTAAAAAAAAAAGACGTGACGCGGAAATTAGTCATCGATGGCTTTCGTTTCACTGTTAAAGGATTAGCAAATGCCAGCTAACTAGCTGTGCGCTAGCTGATGGTTAGCATGCTAACAAAGAGCCGTTGCTGCCCCTCGTTTTGTGATGTTGACTCGGTGTTGCTATTTCAAACGTCATGTTGCGAATAAATATAGATATGTGATTAAACGTTTGCCCTCCTGTTATATAAACCCTTTATGACGAAACGATTAATTTATTTTAATGTGTACAGCTACGATTTTTCCGGGGTTAGGTGTCATGATTGCTTACGCTGCTCATCATGGCTGCAACCATGACAGGAAAAAGGTGCTTATCGGTAATATGTAACGACATTGTTTTTGCAGGTTTACACAACCATAGCAGAGGTCAGAATGCTATTCCTATTTTTTGCAAAAAATACTGGGCACAGTAAATATTTTGCATGTGCAGTCTGTGCTTTATGATAATGGCAGATTTTTAT